GATTTATCTTCTGGGTTTGGAGTCACTTTAAGTAAAAAAAATTTTACAAATGCTGATACTTAATTTTTGACTTCTACATGATGTATGTTGTTACATCTGATCTTATTGTTCTCAATATTCAGAGTGATTGTGATAATGATGTTAAAGAAGAGATAAAAGAAGTGGAGGAGTTTGGTGTGATGGAGGAGTTTTCAGAAGAACACAAAGACCCCTTCAATGAAGTCATGATGGAGCCATTCAGTGACACAAACCCACCAGAGAGATGTCCCCGTCCTCTGTATTCCCGGGATTCCGCACAGGAAGATCTCACCACCCCCCACCATGATCAGGTAGGTGGGACTCGGTGTATGGAACACAGAAGTGATAGTGAACTTTGTGAGACAACATTCTTCTATGTAGTCTGTTGGTTTAATGTTTATATCTGAAATGTAGCCTCCCACCCATTCCACCCTCTCCATTTCAGCTTCCCCTTGCTCCACCCTCCACTTTTATTATTTTTAAAAATGTATAAACAAAATTTTATTCAATGGGTCTTGGGTCCAGTCATGTGACATCATGGATAGGCTCCGTCCTTGTGATCTCCAAAGGGCTGAAATATGTGGTGCTGTTCTTTGCTTCTTGATGTGCCCTCAAGGTGAGGGTCCTTGGCTCCCGGGCTCAGAGGAAATAGGTAGGAGACCTGCCCTCAAATGGGCAGAGCAGGAGACCTTGTATTTCTCTGCTGTAGGTCAGTTAGACATACAGGTCTTGTCCCTCCCCCAGTCTTTGACTGGACAGGAAAATGAGAAGTAGTAGACTTTTTTTTTTCTCTCCCTCCCAGTCTAAGCTTTGCTGTACAGGGACTGCAGGATCCTGATACCAGGTCACATTCAGGTACTAACAATGTTTACATTAAAAAAACAAACGAACACATAGCTGCATTCCTTTGTGTCTTTTCATGTCTTTTCTATCTCCCCGGAGTTCAGCTTTATGAGATGTTTTCTATTATTTTGGGGTTTAGGGTGAAGAACGGAACAATATAAAAGCTGAGGTTAAAGAGGAAGAAGTGGAGACGTTTGTGGGGGGTGACCGGCAATCCACGGAGGAGGTCGGGATGCTGATGAAAAGTGATCAGGATGACATTTCTCTACCGATCAAC